TTTATGAACATTTCATAGACCGACGAATTAGGGTTAGGGTTAGAAGAATTTATAAGAAATAAACTTGTCTATGAAATACGAAACCAAGTTGTCGATGAAATAGTTTTCGAAAAGTCAACAAAATTTCAGGAGGCTTCCCCCAAAATACTCAAAAGTAAGGCTTCTTCTTCACTTTCTTTATGGGGACGAGGTTGCGGTGTTCTTTTACCCACCAATATATCGCATTCGTTTACTTGGTTTCTTAAAACAAGGTATTTATGAAGCAGGGGTGTCAAAATTTTTGAATACAAGATCAGGTGTAATGTGAAATCGAAGCAATCATGATTTTTTTAAAAAATCGTGCAAAAATTCATTTATAAACCTACTTTCTACACTCTAATTAAAAAAATTTCTTGCTAAATTTAACATTTGGAGGTGTTTTTACTATTGCCAACTCTAAGCCTAACTATTCTAGCCTTATTAGGCTCCTACACCTTATGCAATAAATACTGTAAATGGCTATATAGATGACCTGGGTATGTTACATTCTACTGATTTTAATTATACCCGGAGCAGTTTTGTACACGGTACAGTTGGGACAAATTTGAAGTTTTAAAAAATACCAATAGCTCAAAATTAACATGCTTTGGGCTATTAAATAAAGTTGTTTAAAACTTAATTTACATATACTTGTATTATTTTTGATATAATTTAAAAGTTGAGATATTGATGGGACGAAGCTAGAACGAGACAGGACAGAACAAGTCAAAAATGTCACAGGACAGTCAAAATTACAATACTGCCCAGGGGTATATTGTTCAGAGAAGGCTATAGTATGTAAATTACTAGTCAAAAACCTAGCGTTACCAAATTCTTAACCCTAGCATAGACCGAGTATAATATAGGGTCTACTATAAAGGAAGTGTTTTATATGGCAGTTTCATGATAAATAATTAACCGTACTAGTATACTAATAGACCAATCAAATAATATATAGTAACCTCCGATAACTCGTGATCCAGTAATCAGAATTAAATAATTTTGGTATCAATCGATTCGTCTCGATGAGACAATTCGAATGGTACCAATTTGTTTAATTTGAATCGATATATCATGAGTTATACCAAATTTTCTCTTAACTCTATTATAATACTCATATTTATCTTATTTTTTTGTATAACATAATGGAGCATTTTGATTGGTCTTAGGTGGGGAGAGGAGTATGGCCTCATAGTAAATAGATATTAGGTAATATCTGTCACTGCCCTTATATAAATAATGTTTTGATGATATAACACACTAAATAAAATAAACTTTATATTTTAATTAATTTAATTACAAAAATTGATCATTAATATATTATATAATCTATTTAAACTAGTAAATTATCTTTATTTTATTAAATCTTGAACTTTAATATGATTGATAAAGATTGATAAATCAATTTCTATAAATTGCAAGTAATGTTATTAGCAATCATAACGTAACTTGCTATTTTTGTTTAAAATATTAAAGTTATTAACATTTTACAGAAATAAAATATCGGCAAAATTTTCTTTTGTTATGATTATTAATTACAAATAAACCAAAGCAATTTATAATTATACTAGCAATTAAGTATCTAATTATAATATAGAAGCAATAATGATAAAATGATAGTATAGATAATATATAAAATTCATATTTAATACTAGTAATAGATCAGTTCTGGAAAAACTGATCTTTTAACTGATCTCATAGTTAACTAGTTCCTATCCTGATATCAGTTTAGATTGGCCTTCATAAATACTTTATTAAAAATAATAGGGTGTATATAATATTTATAGTTTGATATATATCAATATTATAATAAGCATAATTTAATTTTGTATAAAGCTAGTAGTATTGTACAACATATTTGAACTATACACTATAAATAAAGATAGATCGGTTTAGTACAGTTTGACCAGTCTGATCTTGGTTTTAAAAGCAATCCTGACCTCAACTATTAGTAGAAAGAATAAAATCACAATATTGGTAATTAATTTTCTAAAATAATTTTTTAAATCTCAGATACTTTATATTTAATAACACATATAAATTTTTATATAAATAAGTATTCTTGTATTTTTTTTACTTTTTTTTTTACTTCAGTGATCCTACCTTTATTTTATTTATCGAAAGTAGATTATAAAAATGCTCTCAGCTAGCTAGGCTTACATGCAAATCTCTAAACTACTATATTTCTGTACAAATAA